GTGTGATCTTATTCTGTATACCTTCTCTTATGACCTTTATCATTGTGAGTTTTGAATAGTGTCTGGTAATAAAGTTAGAGATAGCAAAAAATTTTCTCATGTGTCCCCTTAGAGAATAAGTCAGGTATTGTGACATCTTGTTTCAGCTTTTATACTTTTTTTTTCCTTTTTATCGTGGTGGAATGTGTGGTTTGTTTGGTTGTGTTTTTCTCTTCCTATAGCCTGAGAGAGGAGCAAAGATATGCTCTAATTTTCCATTCTTCCTTTGACACTTGCAGCTGAAATAATAAGATAAAATAGCCTATGAGAAGGTGATTCAGAAAGCTGCTAGTAATGGACAGTCCACTAGACTTGTATTGTTGAAAGTTTGCAAAGCAGACTGCATAAAACACTGCTAAATCTTTGTACCCAAAGTTATTTGGTCTCTAGGGCTTCTAATACATGTAGTCTTTCGAGAGTTTTAATTTATTTGAGTGACTTCATGCAAGATTTTACTAAAGATACTGGGAATAAAATGCTTGGGTAACTCCTCAGAACTTTTCCAGTTTGGCAGAGAATCTTCTGCTATACATTTATTTTCAAAGATACCGGGAGAGAAAGCTCATTTCCTCTGAAAGAGCTACGGGAGCCTTCGGCTGAGTCCTTTCTCTTTTCTGAGGTAATTTGTTGTGCAGTGGCTCACAGTGCTGGCCCACTTGGCTACATGCTACCTAGCAAAGAGGTCTGTTGTGGACCACTGAGGCATGTGGTAAAAGCATCAGTGGAGGCTTGACTGATCCTCCTGCTGCCCAAGTCTGAGTGTGGGTGCAGAGTTCCAGGACTGGTCATCATTTAGAGAAGTCTTGTTAGTTTGGGTAGCTCAAGCATTAAGAACACTAAATGCTGGCTACTCCTTAATGATTTACGAAGTTCAGGTTAAAACAAGTATATATGAAAGCTAAAATGCTTTATAATTATATTTTGATATTATAATTAATTTGTAATTAATATGAGATGAAGATGTCAAAAATAATGGTATGATAACCTCTTGTGTATCACGGAACTGAGATAATTGCTAGAGTATTTTAATTTGTCCAATTAAGTTCATAGTCCTTACTAATGGATCCATTAGCTTTTTTAAAAATGCCACATGTTGATCTCATGGAAAAATCAAATAGTCAATACAGGAAGCATGGCTGCTTCAAATTGTAGTTGCTTTGCCAGAAGAAATACTGGCAACCTCCAGTCAGAGGCCTAATTCTACATTAAGAATCATCCTGCTTTTTTAGTTTTTTTACTTTTACTGTTACCAAACTGAAAGACTCCTTCAGAAATGCGTGCTATTGAAATGTAGTGAAATCCAAACCATTTAACTGTAGTGAAATACATACTATTTTACTGAAATTCAAACTTTTATCAATCTAAGTTCTGTTTTATTCTAGTCAAAAATAGATGAGCTTTTAGTGATGTAAAATATGACTTTTATGTCACTTTACATACTTCCTTTTTCTTTACTGCGAAACCCTTTGGCAAAGAGTGGACTTCTCTTGTAAATGGATCTGTGATCCAATTTTTGTTTGTTAGTGGTGAGAAAGGTGTTTTGGTTTGGGGTTTTATTTGGGTTTTTTTAATTAAGTTTAATGGCTCAAATTCAGCCAGGATACCTTCATGTTAGCTTTGAGATCAAAGTGAAGTTTCACTTTGAATTTTTCACTTTCTGTTGCAGCAAGGATTTTTTTAAAGTTTGCCAGAGATGGCAATTTTCTTTTTCCGGTGCTATAAGCTACAGTTCACAGTGCCTTTTGTTTTGTCAAGAACATATGAAAAGCATAACTTTCATGCACTACAAGCCAATATCAAGTTCACTGAGATATGCGAACCAGTTAATTGAGTTAGCGATGGCTCTTGACAGCCACAATGCAGGCTTGAAACAGGGGTTTAGAACTAAAATCACTGTGGAAAACCTGTGCTTCAGAATGAGGCTTAAGAAGAGCTTGAGCTTTCTCCACGATTGAGTCTTTGGTTGCTTCTGACTTTGTCCCACAGAAGTGGAAGATTTCATGAGTTCTGTGTGTCTGCTTTGGTAAAACTGATCAGTGTTGTGACCAATCACATGTGCATTTTAGTGTGTTCTGTTTTTTGCACTGAGTAGAGCTAGTGTTTGAATTTCAGTAGAGAGCAGGCTGGTGCACTTTAACCACTCATCTCCTGTATTTGACCTCTATAGATCAAGTTTTCAAAAGTTCTGGAACAATTAATCTTTAGCTGTTATTTCTGATTCAGATATTAGCTGTGTCATCAAAATTAGTCAGTCGTAGCTTTGCTTTTCATTGTCTCTGTGCTTTCCATTAGTGAATATAAGAAATTCTGTATTTTTTTTAGAAGGAGACTTCTGATGTCTTTGCACTAATGCTGGAGGGACAAAGCACTGTTTCCGCCTGTATACAGTCCATGGATTTTCTTTTACTCTGAATTGTGAAAGAATTGATTTAAGAAATTGCAATTGGACAGACATTGTCAAAGCTTCTAGAACTCCTCAGGTATTCGTTGGTTGTAACAGGAAGGTTACCAATAGATTCTAAAATCTCTTGGGCTGCCTTCTGCATGTTTTATACTTTTTTTTTTTCTCCATATATGTGTTAGGGAAATTTTCAGTTGGAGGGCAGAGAGATTGAACTTAGAGAGCAGGTTCACATCAAGGTGTAGATAAAGGACATGCCACTCTGTTTAGACAGATTTGGCTCCAGGATATATTTTTGCTTCTGGGCAGTTCTAAGCACCTCAGATATTGTTCTGTGTGGCATTGGATGTGTTTTAATTCCAAACTTTTAAGTCCTAAGAAGCTGCTCTTCTGTGTAAGAATTACCTGTTATCCTAGTTTTACAACTGAGCTTTTATCCACTGTATAAATTCATCTTCAACCACCCCATACACACTTCAGCCTCAGGGCACTTACCACACATCCATGGTTTCTGAGCTCTGTGTAGTAAGTGACACAGGGGAGTGGCTTTTTTGGATGGGTCCCCAACACAGGAGAGTGTTTTTGGGGGCAGTAGGTTCTCCATTTATTTTGAACTTGTGGTTAGCATGAGTTCATTGGGGGGGGCCCTCGCGGTGAGGAATGGACCTTCGCAGGTTTGCCTTGGTAGCTTGAGCTGTGCAGCTTGCTGCACACTGAAGGTTACCCCCAGCAGAAGGCCAGCCAGCCAGCTGTGTGCCAGATGACTGCACAGCACCCAACTGCACACAGCCATCTCACATGAGAACTATTAAATAAAATACTGTGCTACTGACACTTTCTTTAGCTGAAAGCGTCAGAGGAATGTGAGAGGTGCTGGTGGCTTGTTTTTCCTTTAGTTTTTTTAGCAATTCAGTGCTATAACAACTTTCTGAAGATAAAAAACATTTGTAAAATAAAGGGGTTTGCACAGACTAGTTTCCAGCAAATATGGGAAAAATATTCTTAGTAATGCTTTCCATATTTGGAGCTTACACTGAAAAAATGATGGGTGCATCACTCCTTATGATAGCCCCAATACGATTACAAAGCAATTCTGAGAGTGATGTGATAAAGTACTATTCAATATATGAAATTTCCTTTAAAAATGTGCTTTGTTTCCTTAACACTCTTATATTTTTGTTATCTAAACGTATTTGCTGTCTTTCCTCAGAAGAAACTGCCTGTGATTTCCAAGGGAGTTTTGCCTAAGGTAGGGCTTGAAACATCAGGACCAGGAATTAGTGTAATGTGACCCACCATTTGTATTGCTTTGGGGTAAATTTGAGAGAGAAGATTTAACATTGTGTGTGTCATGCTGAGATATTGCAATATCTCGGATGGGTTATTAGGCACCAATCCAAAGGTTAAGTGCAGCAACCACATGAGATGTGGCTTTATCCTTACATGATCTGTGCCTGTGTTCTGTTTTGTAGCCCTCTGAAATAGGTAATATCCCTAGAATAAAACATGTTTATAAGACTTTTTGAAGCCTGTCCCAAGCTATTAAATGTCATTTCAGTAGAAAGGTGTTCACTCACATCATTTGAAATCTAGAAATCAGTCCTTGTATGTGTGAACTCACTGATGTTTTAAATGTGGATCCCAATGTGCACCAGATAAATATTCACGACCTTTGGGAAAGTCTAGATCAGAATTTACAGTTCAGGATCTTTTCTAATTTACATGCATATATCTTTTTGGGGTTTTATTTTCCATGCTCTTTTTGCTTGGCTTACATTAAATAAAATGCTTCAATGGAGTGTGGTAGTCTAGCATTTGTTTTGCCTCAGGAGTGGATTGCCCCATCTTGCGTATCTGGTCAAGTAAATTGCTCTCTTGCCTGCATAGTTCAATAATAGTACTGGGCTTTAGACCTCCCTGTACAACCCCCCAGTGAGCAGAACCACAAGGGGCTGGGCCTGTGTGGTGCTAGCAGTCTACTCTATTGTCATGGATGCATTCATCTCCGATTTACATAAATTAATAGTTAAAACTTGTTTGGTTGCTAAAGAAAACTCATTAAGCTTTCAGAGTAGCTGTATCACGAGCACTGTGGCAATCGCTCCCATTGACTTATCTCCTGCTGATTCACTGGGAACCAGTCCATCTCAGGGTCAGGTCCCTAAGCTTCATTGCAGAATTAAACAAATAGCATTTAAAAGAAAATGCAAATAATATGTGCAGTGCAGGGTGAATGTTGGTAAGCTTCCTTATAAAAAAGAGGTCGTGATTAAAATTTTTAAAAATAAAATCCTATTTTTGTCTGCAGGGCCAATTTTCTCTCAGGAAATAGATCATACTTTTTATCCATTTTCTGCTAGTCACTGGAGAATGTTTGACATTGTAAGAGAAAGGTCAGTTTCTATAACCTGAAGTGGGAGGAGAATGTTTAATGTGAAAAGCTTGGCCAGATTTTTATTATTATTATTATTATTTGAATGTTCTGCTTTACCCTTTTAATTTTTCCTCTTCACTATATGATTTTTATTTTTCTTTATTTCCTCTTTGGTTTATTTTGTAGATTGGAGAAAGAGAACATTCAGCACAGCATTAGCAGTGAAGCAAAGGCCCGAGCCCTTCAGGCCCAGCAAAGAGAGCAGGAGCTGACACAGAAGATGCAGCAAATGGAGGCCCAGCATGAGAAAACTGGTAGGTGGTAGGGAAAGATTAGAGCCTGGGCACTCACTCACAAGCCAGGCCCACGCCTTACTGTGAAATGACATCAGGAACACCTGTAACCTTTGGCTGGCCGAAGGGAGCAGATGCTAACTACACCGGAGATTCCGAATTACATATTAGTTAGCGTTTAAAAGAGAAAATGGAAAGTATTGCCCACTGTCTGTTGATTTCAGAGTGCTGCTCTCACATCTGCTGCACCATCTGGATTATGAGTTTATTTACCTGTGTTCAAGAAACGTAAAGCTGAGAGAGACCACAACAAAGTAGAAAAACAAAGGGCTTGTTTTTGGCTGGATTTTCAGGCACACATGTTATATAAAGAAAATAGCATCAGAAGCTCTGCGGGAAATGCTCCGAGCTTACAGTTAAAGTCTCCTGAATAGCATTGAACAGTTCCCACAGTACACACATTATAGCTACTCTAAAAGCTTAATGAGTTTGCTTCGGCATCCAAACTGGAGAAAAGCTTTAGCCATTAATCGGTTCTTAATTCACTGTCGCAGCTGGATGTAATTCACTGGCTCCAAATTGATATGTTCCTTTATTTAATCTTTGCAGCCTCAAACATTTTTAGCATTACCATGTGCCTCCCCCACATCCTCAGTCTAGAAGAAAGATGTTTAATCCCTTGCATACTTCAGGTTCTCATAATAGGAGACTTCATTGCATTGACTTAGCCCATCAATAACATCTAACTTTAATCTGGAAGCAAAATGGGTTTTCCAAACAAACAAAAAAGAGCTTTTTGTATTATGAAGTACTATGCCAACAACATTAATAGAGGTGCATATTATAAATAAACAAAAAAAAGGAATTTTTAAGAAATGAAATCTGTAACCCACGAGCATGGAAAAGAGGAGGAGTTTCAGCTGTTAAAGAACACGATATATTTATGTGTTTAACAAAATACCATATTTACCCACCAGTCATGCAATACTTTCAGGAAAACTATACAACATATATTAATTATATGGGGTGTTGGATAATAAATAAGGTAGCAGGCATACTATTTAATTGTCTGCCTTTTTTTAGTATTCTCACAGTACTAGAAGACCTTTCCATGTGTTCAGGGAATGCAAACAGCTACATTATGGCTGCTGCCTACACTGTAGGAGAAGAAAAGAAGCTCTCAGAATATTTTTTTTTCCTCCTTTAGCCAGCACATCTGCATATGACCATGTGTGATTTTGCACAAGAGAAATGTAATTTACCTTCCTGGTGCATAAATTGTCCCAGTATACAAAAATGAAAGAATATTATGTCTGGGTCTGGTTTTATGTATCTTTAGTAGAATTTAAGGGAGTTGAAAATTATAGTCATTTGTAATGTATATAAAGAAAACCTTGTTTATTATGACCCTACACACATACAAGGAATTTGGGCAAGTGTGGTCATGCTTTCACTGATTTTAAAAGCAGAAATCAAGAAAGATTATTTTGCAGTATCTCCCTTCTGAAAGAATAAGGATACCTGGATTCTAGGTCATGAGTTTAGGTGCAGTCCTAAGTGATACTAACTGAAAATTAATTTAGAAAATGGTTTCATTTCAATTGTCATTGGGCAAGAAGTCTAAATCTTTTCATTTAAGAATAGAAAATTGCATTATTCATGATAAGTTCAGGACACAGTAAATAAAGGAACTGCTGTTTTATGGAGATACTGAAATGAGTCTACAGTGTGAGCATTTGGGTTGCTGGTGTATCCTCTGCACCAGTTGAGCAAGCAAAAGTCTGTTAAAGCATGGCTTGCCAATTTTATTCCTCCTAGAAATGTCAGTGAACTTCTAGCTAAAAAGCAAGCCCACCAGATTAGATATCTAGTCTTCACAGTGATTCTTCTCTTACAAGACCAGATTCGGTGGCAACATTTCTTTAACACTTCAGCTAATTCTGACATGGAGCCTTAATTTGGTAAGTGATGATGTCCAAGTAGCTGAAGTTTAAAAAACATTTCAAAGTAGAATGAACTAGAAGAAAGAAATTAAGCATGTATAAAATTGTTTCTATGTTATCTATAAATTTATATAATAGTAATTTTATAGTATCATAATTTTATGGTTTCTAGTAGAAGAACTGGATTCATTGCTGACCTCCCAGAATACATTCATAGCAAAATTAAAGGACGAATGTTTTGTGTTCGCAAAAAAGTTGGAACAAATGTCAGAAAAATACAGGTTAGTATGTTTGTGTTAACCTGACCCTTTTATTACTAGGACATGCTTCTTTATCTTTTTATTTGTATTTTAATATTTATTATTTTTCATTTTGTCTCAGGTATTATATATCATATTAATGTAATATATGCCCCTTAAGAATTCAGTATAATATATGTTCCCTTAAGATTATGTTTCTGACAATTGATTCAAATTTCTTCGAATCCAATGTAAAAAATTGCGTAGAATTTTCTTCCTTGTGTTCATATTCGTAATATGAAGGATAGAAAATTGTTTAAAAAGCTACTATTCAAGTTTATCTGAAGTTATATGAAAAAGGCTAAAGATTCAATGATGTCGAAACTGTTACAATTTTATTTATTAACTCTAGTACTCTTTTCACAATACTACACTGCACACTGGATATTGTCTATAAAATAATTGTCATCAAAATTGCTTGTCATTGATGCTCTGATTTTGCTGCTGCTTTTTATCAATCAATAGCAGATCTAAGTTCAAAGCCATTAAAAACTGAGGAAGAGAGCAACATCCGGAAGTAATAATAAGTTAAAGAAATACAAAGCTATAGAGGTATCTATCCAAAACTTCTGTAAGATAGAATTATCTTCTATAGAAAACATGAATTTTGTAGTTCTTTAGCAGCAAATAATTTGATTTTACATTTTTAAGTGTGAAAATAGTATCTGTTGAAACTTTTTTTGGGGTTCATATTTAGAGTGGTAAATTGGACTTCAGTGGAGAGTTGGCATTCGGTAACTTCTGTAAATTAACTGAATTTGGTAATTAAGGCTAGTATGCATCTGATGGCTGATGGAAAGTAAGGAAAACATTCAGCAAAGATAAAATTGGTTTTCAAGGCAGGATTTTTCTGCTGGGTGGATTTAATCATCCTCTCGAGGTAATGTAGAAGAGACAAAACTCACTCAGGGAGAGAACTCATTTACCCGAGAACCCTCTTCCCAGGAATGGTCAAAGGAGAATTTAAGTAGATCACAGACACTCACACACACACATGTCTGTAATAAATATAATATATGTCTGTAATAAATAAAATATATGAAGTTTCCCATGGGTACTGCCTCTACTGCCCATCTTACTTCCCACTGAATATAAAGTGTTGACTAGCTGTTAAGTGACTGAAGTTGGGAGATGAATCCCATCCAGAGCATTTGGGGAAGAAATGAGAAACTTCAGGGACTGTAAGTAATATTTCCATGCAAGTGTAGTAAGGGGTACTTGAGAGAGAAGCAAAGAAAATTTTTCCTCTGAAAAAGCAGAGCTCTTCTGCTAAAGTAATGCAAAATCTAAATGGATTCAAATCATATTATTATTCCAGCAATAAAAAAGCACACAGACTTTGTTGCTAGAGCTCACAGTCACAATATAGTAACTGTAAAGGATAAAGGATAAAGGAAAGACAGAAAATATACTGTGAAAACACATTATTCTCTGAAAATAAATACTAGAGATTGCCAAGTGTTTCTCCACCTAGCAGCATTAGCTGACTATGTCAAGGACCTGAAAATGGGAAAAGGAGCCCTCTTGCATCTCCAGGAAGTGGTAGTTTTTACACAAGAAACTGTAAGGAAGAATGCATGAACGTTGTTCTGAGAAGTGGTCCTAAAATAGCTTGAGCTTGCCTTCATTGGAGTGGGAACTGCTGCAATCAGTTGCAGGGATAGAGAAATAGGTAGAGACAAAAAAAATAGAAGGTAAAAATGAGAACAGCAAGGTGGAACTGGAGGTGGTGGAAAATGACAGACTAATGTAGATGGCTTCACAAAGTGATGTGATCAGGAGATCAGATGCAGAAAATTATTTTAGCCAAAGCATGATGGGCAGGTATCCCTCTGGAGCACCTCTCTGAATGGCAGTCTTCAGCTCATTGTCACTGAATGCAGTGTAAAACCACATTCTAGGGCAGAATACTGTAGTTTTGTCTTCTGGAAAAAAACCCAATAATTTGGGGAAGATTTTATAACTTAGTGCTTATGTACATTAATAAAGGCAGATCACAAAGCAACAGCATGCCCTATTTTCACAGAAAATACTTTTCCATTTTTTCTGTATTTTTGATCTTACCATAAATTGAATTTTGGATCTGGATGTGTGTTTTCTTGCTGTACTTCTAGAACCATTGTGCCTTATTTTCCATGGGCTTAAGAAATAACTGTGTGCTACCAATACCATTATTTAATTGGATTTAATTGGTAGAACACTCAAGCTATTTTAATAACAGATGCAACAGTAATTTTATTTAGTTTGATATGAAGTACTCATTTGTAATAAAAGACATTTCAAATTTATCTGTGACAACGACATATTTCTACAGTATCAGTTGAATGATCTGAATAGCACATATATTTTTGTATTTAATGCAGGTTTTCTGAGAAATCTAAACTGAAGTTTTTGTGTTTATATGTAAGCTGGAACCATTTTTTGAGCTAGTCCCTACACAGAGAGGTGTCAGAAAGACAATGTCAGACGAATTATAAACCCCTCAATCTGTGCAGAAACAAGATAGTGTCTGTGAAGGTTTTCGTATGCATAGGCATGTTTAAAAATATAGTCCTTTGTTGATTTCTTCTGTTTCTCTCTTGTTTTGTTCTTTTTTTCCCTCTGATTGTCACTGTCTGAGTTTCTAGGTTGTAGATTAATGCTTAACACTACCCACTGTGTATTTGTGATTTGCGTTTTGTAATTAAGGGGAACAATGGGAGTCCATTGGGTCTCGTTATATATAATGGTTGGTTTAATTTGTTTCACTTCTATCTTGTTAATTGTAAATTGATCATTAAGATTTGAATTCTAATCTGTCACCAGGGTTGTGAGTATTGAAGCTAGAGCAATGATCCTGGTTTTAATCACTGATGATGAGAAACAAATTTTATAATTTTGGTACATATTGCAGTTCATATATTTTAACACTGTATTTTATGGTGTTATAAATATTGTTAAATGACTTTTAGTGTAGTTTTACTGTTTGGACTATAATGTATAAATTATATTACTGGTTTGGCAACAGTAGGCATCCAACTGTGTGAGTTTAATTGAAGTAAAGAACACATACCCGGCTGAACTATTTTTCTGCATGTTTGGTTGACTGCAGTCATTGCACTCAATACCAGGAGTGAAATGTTTGTTGAAGGTAGCTGTATGAAGATGGGGAACAGTCTGTCTGAAGATTCTGTCATTAAAATTAGATGCAACAATACTGCATCAGCAGAAAATATTTTAGAGTGTGTGTTTAATTTCTGTGCAAGTAAACAATTGGTTTTAAGAGCAGGAAAAGGCAATGTTTAAAAAGCACTGAAATGAAGAAGCTACTTCAGAGGAGTAAAGGCAGCATTGCCACTTTAGTGTTCAAAAATCAGCTCATCCTAAAGATATCCTGAGACTGACTTTTAATTTTGACTATTTAACTTTTTCTCTTTTTTTTTTTTTCCTTTAATATTTAAGTAGTTTGGAGGCTAACCTGTTTTGGGGTTTTTTCCAAGACTCTTCCAGCAAATATGGTAGATTAAACCTTAAAGTGGTTTTTAAATAGAAGTTGAGGTAGTTAAATGGATCCCGAAGTATAGAGGGGTTTTTGTTTCTGTTGTTGCTTCTGCCCCATCAATTATATTTGATATAGTAACAAGTAAATAAGACTTGGCAAAATCTATTATGCACCCAATTACAAGCATGCATTTTACATTTTCATGTGTTGTTGTAGCTTTGCTCTGTGCAGTTTCAAAATAACAGTGATTTCATACAGGTCGTTTGAGTGTTTCAGATCTGAGAAGCACACACAGATCCATGACAGCCTGACTTGTGGGGCCAGCCTGAGTCTGCAGAAGTGCCCCTTCCTGCTGAGTTCAACTCCAGTGGCAGCACTCCAAATGCCTGCATGCTTCAGTTTCTGTTGAGTCCACCACAGCTTATTGCTCAGACTGTTGGAACCAGAGTAGCTCTGGTGGAACAGCATCAGCACATCCATGCTGTGTCCTTTAGTTGTGCAGGATCCATCAGACACAGTGATTAGTGCACAGATTTCCCTAATTTGCCTCTGTCCCCGGCCTTATGAGTGAACTATCTCTGAAGTTCAGCAGTGTGTGCTTTGACACTCTCCCCCCTCTCTTTTCCTGCTGTGATACCTTGGGAGCCGAGTTGTACAGAAGCATTTACACAGGACTGGTCCTGCCTCTGGCTGAGTGGAATTCCTACTCCTGTATAAATATGCTATAGCATTCAGTACAGTTAACAGGTTTAGTACAATTATGGTGGGTTTGGGGTTTTTAACGCAACTATGAGTGCAGTTACTAAAATATCACATGGAATTAGCTGTCTTATCTTAATATTTCGAAACTGAGGTGAATGAAAGGTATGTTTAAAGATGCAGAGGGAATCGTTGACAAGTGTAGATGGAAGACTCTTGGTAGGCAATATTGTATTGTACTGGTGTTCTCTCTTTAGTTCCAACACTCATGAACCTTTTAACATGGACCTAAGCATTCTGTTCTTCATATGTGCTGTCCTTCAAAACTTCAGTGTCATTAAATATTTGAGTCTTGGTGGTCAGACTCTTAGTTACATGGAAGGAACATTGTGTAAGTAAAGTCATAATTAGAAAATTTTTTTTTGTGTGTGTTTACCTGTAATTACAAAAGATGTTTTAGGAGAAGACAACACTCATAATGTGCTTCAAAGCATCAGGCATCTAGAGCTCTGTTTTAGAGACTGGAGATTATGATACTTGTGGTTTTAATTAATTCCTTACTTACTCTGGTTTCATTAATTGTTTTTTCAAATTAATTTATTTCAGTAGAGTTTTGGTTTTGGTTGACTTGAATTACTTGATCTTTCCAGAAAGATTTTGGGCACCTTCAAGGTAATGGAGATGAATAAGTCCTTGTAAAACTTGGAGAATTTTATCACCTTGAAAGTTGCTTCTGCTGTTTCCATGAATAAGACAGTCACATATAAATGCAGAAAAAGAAACAGGATCTCCCAGTTGGGAAACCCAACAAATGTGATAATTTGCAGTATTCCTACATGGCAAATGCTGTTGCTGAATTTTGCTGGCAAAAAAGGAATGCAGAATTGAATGTAGTCCCATGTCAGGTCTCTTTGAGCTGCTATGCAATGACCCTTTGCTTTTATCCACTGGTTGTCTTTCTTACAGTATCTGTATCAAGTACAGACTGCATTCACATTGTGTGATAACAGTTGGTCCAGCTGGCAATGCTTTGTTAATGCTGACATTTAAGTTACTAGTATTTCTGTAAAATGGTCGGTGGAAAAATTCAGTTTCTGCTACCTTCTTATAACATCCTGCCCACTATAATGTACCCATCCAGGAAACTCCTGTGCACAGAAGTTTGATGTACAAATCTATCAGCACAATTCTGATGTATTTGTGTGTGATCTTCCTTAATAGAGCTGTAACTCTCAATCTAAATTCAATTACATGCAGTCTCAGTCCAAAGTTTCCTTTGCTAAGTTCTTTTAGATTCACAGATGATACCATGCATTGTTCTCTATTTAAACATGAAAAGATCATGTTGTCATTTCTAGATTTGACTTGTCAATGTAACAACATGTTTTTGAAGGAGGAGTATTCCTTCCTCCCTGCACTTTGTTGTATTTTTCAGAATGTCAGTTGTTGTTGCATTCTGTAACAGCCAGGAAGGTAAAGTATCTTTCTGCTGTAATTGCAGCATATTTAAGTTCATGATTTAAAGATATATCTGAAGTTTTTTAACCTTGAGATATGGAGTGGCAGATGCCATAAATCAAATTTGCTTGCTTTTGATTCGTACTTTCTGATGGTATAGCAGATTCTGACATGTTCTCATTAACCTTTTCCAAAGAGTTAAAATTGTACAACTGCATAATGTATATTTTATCACTATTTAATCTGAGGTCTTTTCCTGATATTAAAAAACAGCTCATGCCTGTTTCTCCATGGGCTGATGGTTAGAGATGTAGCAAGTAGCAGTCCCAGGTCATTCATGGATCTGGTGTCTCTGCTCACCCGTGAAGAATAAGAATTGCTTAGAAGTGACTAATATTCTTAAAGGCTGTGCTGAGTTTTATGTAGATTAGTGTGTGCCTGTATGATTTGTCCCTTGTTTCTGAAGTTTAGTTAATTTTCGTCTTAGTGAGGCTTTGGGGTTTTGGCTGGGTGTGAGTATTTTTTGTGGGGGAGGGGTTTATGGGGGTTTTGTTGTTGATGTCTTTTTAATCTGTGCAATGTTATTTTAGACATAGGAGGTTACTAAAGTTTCTAAAACAGTACCACTACTGAGAGTTCAACCTGTGAACTGTTGAGAGTTCAACCTATAAAACGGAGTAAAGGTTGAACAAGGTTTTAGTAGCTGTTTATTTAAACTAAATGTTAGCTTTTGCTCATAATTTTCAAAATGTTAGCCAAATTCTTGCTTAACAAGTATGAATTTACATTTATTGATCTTATTTAACATCGATGCAAAATGCCAAATGGCATGCCTGTTTAAATTAGGCTGAAATTAGCTTAGCCAACCTATAATTGATAGAAGATAACCACCAGTATCATATTCTTTTGTCTTGAGATTATCTGAAACAGCATTTTGTTTCTGTAAGTTCTAGTAATAGCTTTTTTATGCATTACATATAAATGTATGAAATCTTATAAATGCTGAAGCCACATATTGATGGCACACTGCAGGATGAAATCTGACAACATCCATCATCGCTTTGTTTTACTTCTGTAGATCTGAAGTCAACCAGCTTAGTCAGGAAAAAGAATATCTTCATGGCAGATTGGAGAAGATGCAGAAACGGAATGATGAATTGGACCAACAATGTATCCAGCATGGGAGAATGCATGAGAGAATGAAGTCAAGGTAGGAGGTCCTGTTGATCTGTCAGTATGTGATATGCTCAACTGTACCAGTCGTGTTGTGTAAACATAAAAATGACACGACATTGTGTGAAAGTAATATTCTTTCCTTATGAAATGACCACTGCTTCCCCCCCCCCAACCATTCTGTCAAGTTGTTTTTTTTTAACATCTTTTGCTTGTGCCATTGTGGATAAATAAAAGGAAAGCTTGAACAACATAGTCTTCCAAAGAATTTAAACCTAGTACATATGTGTGTGGGCTGCTTCGGCTGTTCTCTGCTCTAACTTGTATGAATAGTCTTACCATTTATAAAAAAAAGGGAGGGGGGAGCTGGGGAGGAAGGACAGAGGAGGTTATTCAGTGATGTGAATGTAGAGTACAGATGTGTGTTCCATTATGCCGTGTAATAGTTGTATTTTTGGGGTTTACCATCATTTAACTTGTATAAACAGACAAATCTTACTGAAAATCCTAGTAACCAGAGAAATACTGACCATTTCCAGGCACCACTAGCCTTGCAGAGAAGCAGTGACTTCCTCAGGATGAGCTGGGAGCAGCTGCAGCAAGGCTAGTGTGAAATATTTTCACCAATATCAATTGACTGTTCTGGCCAGAGTATCCAGACTGATAATGGCTTGTGCTGTGATATGAATTAGACTTCCTCAAAGATCACTGTGGAGTCTTTTCCTTTTGGCTCCAGAAAGTTCATCTATTCTTTCTTGTTCTGCTTTCCACTCCACATTAAGTGTAACAGGCACTGGAGGGAGTTTGACATGCTTGTGGAGGTAGAGGATGAAGTAAAGAGGAGGCTGAGAGGTAACTCTGCAAATCAAGTCATCCAAGCTACGTCTTGTCAGTAGTCAAAGGCAAAATGCAGTTTAACTTTGTTTGGACTAGACAGCCCTTACTGGGAAAAATTCTTTTTGCTTTTTTTCATCATTGACCACCTGAGAGGAACAGAGCTTGCAAGTATTAAAGCAGCCAGTCCTGTATGCTCCTTTCTTTAAAGTACTGATTTTTTTTTTTTTTACTGCCATCTCTTTATTCTCTGTCTATAGTTTTCTTTCTTGCAAGCACTTCATGTGCTCATTTCAGTCATCCAGAACCACTTCGTTCCTCTTTCCTTTCAGATTTCTGTCTGTACCTCATTCTGTTCTTCTCTAACCTGGGATTGTCATCATCATTTATAGCTCAGAGCACAAAGAAATTCAGAACACTGCAACTGCATCCCTAATCTGTGTAACCACACAATCTTTCAATTTATCTCACCTCCCTTTTGATTTCTTTAGTTATGGTGGATTCTTATCATATGCAGGACTGAGAATTCGAGGTTACTTTCATGAGAAAATTTTCCCCCTCTTTTTTCTCCTAGCTGCTCTTCTGTAGAATTATGAGTATCTAGTAAAATTTACAAGTGCTTTGCAAGTTTTTATGGTAACCTTTCCTCTATCTATTTTTATAAATAAGATAGATCTACTGGAAAATGTTGCTCATTTTCTGCTGCAGCAGCAATGATTATACACTAGAAAAGACTGAAAGCATTAATCCAGAACACAAAAGTGGTTTGAAAGCAGAGTGGTCATGCTGCAGGCAATGCCTTACCTTCTGCTGCTGTATTGCAGACAACAGAGAAAACAGGGCAGTAATAGCATTTGTCTTACTTAATATTTTAGAATATGTAAATATGGCAGAGATTATTAGGTGTTCTAAACATGAACAACATACTTTACCAGCATTTTAAGAGATGGCTCTTTTAACATATTTTTAATTGTCATCTTGCACTCTATTAATTTAAATTCCAACTAATAAGTTACAAGGCTGATACTCTACACTGCTTTAAAAAAATCAGTGTAATCTCATTTTAATTTTTGATGTGAAAACTGTAGTAGATTTTCAGGATTAATTCCCAAATGCTGTAAATTGGTCATGAAGTTTACAAATCTAGGTGAAGAAAGCAGAAGGAATAACTGCTCCAACAAATAAATCCCCCAGATGCATATATTTATGTAGAAAGATTTTCACTAAATAAAAATAGTAATTTTTCTCTTCTGATTTTGAAAATAGAGATCTGACTATACTATTTAGTAAAAGCAGAACAACAAATAATAATATGTATTTTGCCTCAGATTTTCATGCATCACTTAGACACTAATAATCTCAGGAAAATACTGTTGATGATGGCTACTTCTTAGCACGTTTGTTTCTCCTTTGTATGTGGCTACAAATAGCAGTGGTCATTTTGCAGCACAGTCCCACAAAGCGCATTCTGACCTAATTTTCTAGCTGCTGTTATTCTGGATTTTCAGAAAATTTCTTGTATTACAATGATTTTTGGCTAAACTTGGAACCTAACATTTGCATTTTAATAATGAGGTATTATGATATTTGTTTGAGAAGATATCATTGTCCATACTTGTTTTATCCAGGGACAGCAGGATAGGCCCTGATGTAACTATTTTGTGGCAGAAACAATACCTAAATGATGAGTCGGAATTTCTTTTGGACCAAAAATGTTTTGGCATTCATAACAGTTGCACTGCTGAATTTGTGCTGCAAATGAATATAGTCCAAAATTAAATAAGCAAATTTCGAAGGAAGAGATTACTTTAAGTGCCAGTCATTAAACAGGATATGGAATCAGCCTTTTCAGTGTCGTGGAAATATCCAGCCCTTTCGGTGTGTTTTTACTCAGTGAAATATGGCATTAAAAGAAGTAGATGTCCATCCTAAATCATACAGTTGTTGCATACTACTGATGCAAACTTGAATTGAGATATGTACAGTTTGCAGGACTAAGGTGACATGTTATGAGTCCAAGTGGAGTTGGTCATCATGTGTATCTTCATGAATATGAATCTTGCATAAAGTCTTGTCTGTTATGTAGCAGAGTCCATTTTTGTAAATTTTTAACCTCAAAGCAAACTGTCTTATTAAATTCTTCAAATTCCCATTCTGTAGATTTGTGTTCATGGTAGAAATTAGCAGATAGCAGAAAGTACAGAATTTCTTATAAGGCAGCCATAAAGGTAGAAACTAGCCAACAATAAGAAGAATATGAAGCAAAACTGAAAGGTTTCTATGGTTTGGGTTTTGGTTTGGGGTTTTTTTGGTTTGTTTTTTTTTTTTTTTGGTGCTTCACTCCACATAATTAGAATAGATTCTGCATGAAGGAAAATTCAAAGCCAAATGAATTGGGTAACTGTATGTATAAAGTTGGCTCATTCTTTCCTTAATCTGTTTTCAAACTGAATTCCCAGGTGTGCATTTTCACCTCTGTAGTTAGACCAGTTCTGTAAATGCAGATCCACTTTTTCACAAACTCTTTTCTCTTCCAATTAAAGAGGAAGAAGAAAAAGACAAGAACCTCCCTAGATCAATTATTGTTTGGATGTGTATATGAATAAGTATTATTTGCCCAAGCTGCCATGGGTCAGGATTTCATCGGGCTGTTTGAGCTTTCACTGAACTTAATTGACAACTCTTGTAGTTACAAAGTTCAGTTATGGCTTTACTTCTCTGCATCTGTTCTTCTCATAAAACAAGTATTTGATTGTAACTCGTCTATTTTGAGGATTGCTTCTGTGGACAGCCAGTATCTATAATGGGAAGCATTTAATGAAATATAGTTTAGCTCTTTTCTGTGTACGTTTCCTGCTGAAGACCTTCAAGCAGGAGAAGAAAATCCTAGGCAATTTCTTTCCTTTTTTCAAGATGAGCCAGACATGCCTTTACTTTTTATCAAACAGTTTAAAAAAAAAGAGGACAGTAGTTTATATGAAATATAAGACTCTTTTAAAATCTTTTTAATAAAACATAAATTTAGAAGCTTCTAATGAGTTTCTTTCCAAACGTTTTTCTAAAGTTCAGCATATGGAATTTGAGGCTATGAATTTTCTCTCATATCTTGTGGCTACACTTCATATTACTGTAATTTTTGCTGTACTGTGTGTGATCAATGTCCAATCTGTATAACATTAATAATAATAATACATTTAATGCAAATCTGTGTGGGGCTTTTTGTTGTGGTAGCTTTTTGGAGGTGACACTGTTAGACGTATTTTGACTGTATTTTTGCTAGCTAAAGTTTAAAAGAAGAGCCTACAGGACTGGCAGTTTGGGGCAGATGTGTGTCTATTCCTTAGGCATCAGTGGTTGTAAGTTAACTATAAAAATGTTACAACCATCTGTGTAACAAGACGGCAGAGATCTGCTCTCGCCTGTTACTATAAATAAGAAGGAGATTTGTTTGACTTCATAGACATTGGATTTATAAAGACTCTATGTGTCAAATTGGAACTACGTGCCATGTTGCTGAGATGTGTCTGCAGCCAACTACCTGGGGTGTCTTCCCCTTCAGACATTCTAGTGTGGTGCAGCAACTGTGCAGAAATGTCTGTATAGCACAACATGTGATAAATTATATTTGTTTTCTACCTATGGCAAATGTATGATTCTTATGGATAAGCTTATCTGGAAGGGTACCTAAAATGGACCTTTAAACAGACCACTCAAGTAAAAATGTGATACTCAGTTTGACGAGGATTTTAAAGGCTATTTTCCACCATTAAATTTTTCTGTTTGTTTGTTTTGTTGGTAAGTGGTAGTGTATGCAAGATCATGTATGCTTAAGAGAGCGCATTATTTGTGGGAATTGAGACATATCTAGAGAGAATACACCAGCATTTTCAAATATCTGCTATGTAGAATCACAATAGCTAGTTTGCTGTCACTATGACACTACTGAATAGAAATTTTGGATTTCTTGGCAAATCTTTAGTAGAACTACTAAATGAAATTATTTCTTGTTAACTGGAGCAATCAAGTTGCATTTGAAATTTTACATTTTCTCCTTAAAACTGAAGTACTTTTTTGTGCGAATGTGTGTTTACAAGAAACAATGGCGGATGGATGAATTTAGGTTATGTCATTACCTGAAAGACCTTTATTTTCTTCCAGTCCAGTTCATTCTCAGTTAAATACATTGTCTTCCTTATTCTACCA